GCTCCACAATTATCTAAGAATTATGGAGCAACCATCTTTTCTACTCACCTCATGTTGCCGGTCATCTTCATTATGATCTTTGTGACTAGCAGCTGAATAAATTGCACTTTTTTTAACATGTGGCGCTTCTCGCTTTCTAGTGTGTCGAAGTTCACCTTCATTATCAGGATCAGGATCTTGGTGTCCATGACCAGGATCATGACCATTATGTTCTGGAAGATGTCCATGAGAATGACCTGGGTTATGCACACGATCAGGTTTATGGACCCGATTATGCTCGTATTGTCCACCCTGATCATGGTTAGGGGGAAAACCTGGTGTAATGACCTCTGAATTTTCGTCATTCTTCCCTTTTCTCTTCCTCTTTCCTTTTGGCGGCTTACTTTCAGAATGTTCCTGTGTTTTATTGGTCTCTGTTGAAGGCTCATGGCTAGTCTCCCCACGCTCACTGTGAGTAATGGAATCATTAGAAAAATGGTGGGTAGTGTTATGATCGAGGTGATGACGCAAACAATGGTGATGACATAACCGATGATTACGGTCGCGCGTATGTTTATCATCAGATTTGACAGACACTTCAACTGTCTCTTTCTCTGGGTCACACTTATGGTATCTTTTTGTTGATACACTGGTCACAGTTTGGTTTTCTGAATTTAAATGCTTATGGGAATGCTGGTGGTTATGTGAGTGAAAATGCTTTCCCTCCTGAACTGCCAAAATATCTAAGTGAGAAACATGATCATGGCCAAGATCCTCATGATTAATCTCAACTACTTTTATTTCTCCGAGGCCCAAGTTTGTTAAAAGTTTCTCCAGACCAAAAAAGGATAATCTTCCATTTTCACCGTAACGGTCAAAAAGTTTTTCAATGTAATAATTTTTCTCATTTTTGGCAGCATCCAGCTCTGAGAATTTGCTCGACTCCGATTCGGTCAGTCCATGATGGTGTCTGTGGTGCTCCTCAGGACCATGGTCATGTGGCTCATGGCAGTGGTTGCAATGATGAAAAATAAATGTCAGCAAACAAATGAGGCAAAATTTTGTGTGCATATGTACCTTCATTTCTAATTTTCCTAAAGGGATTTAAAAAGAGAGGCAAGCATTAGTTTCTATTTATTCACATTCCAAATAACCACACACTTTGCAGCAGTGCCAATCTACTAGGCCAGTGGTCGGCAAACTTTTTAGTCAACAGAGCCAAATATCAACAGTACAACGATTGAGATTTCTTTTGAGAGCCAAATTTTCTTAACTTAAACTATATAGGTAGGTACATTGTTATTAACTTAATTAGGGTACTCCTAAGGCTGAGAAAGAGCCACACTCAAGGGGCCAAAGAGCCGCATGTGGCTCGCAAGCCGCAGTTTGCCGACCACTGTACCAGGCAAATGTTTTACCCCAGTTCCTCCATGGCTCTGGATCATTCTTTCCTCTTTCTGTAAAAATGGCGTCTTTTATCAAAATAGCGTACAGCCCTTTGAATTAATACAAACTGATAAGGGCTCATCTACCAGACTTCTACCAGTCATCTACTCTGACTTCCTTTTAGCACAACACCTAAGAGTGTATACATTTATACCGGATTGGATTCCTCCTCATCTGGTCCTTTTCAAAATAGTGTGCTGATTCTGCTCTTGAGTCCCTCTGGTAATTGCAATAAGGCAAGATGAAATAAAATGATAAAATGTGTGAGTTATAAAGAAATGCAACTGCCATTATTTATGAATGACAGGATTGGGTATGTAGAAAATCTAATACAATCTCTAAGAATTAATAAGTTAATTCAGTTAAGTTGCTCGATATAAGAATAACATAAAATCAACTGTATTTCAATATACCAGCAATAATTAGAAAATTTGAAAACGGTATTATTTACAATAGCAAATAGCTAGGAATAAAAAACAAAAGATGTGCAAGACCTTTACATAAAATATGACCACATATTATTGAGAGAAATGCAAGCCATAAATAAAATGGATGACTATATCATGTTTATGACTGGATGGGATACAGACCCAATGTAACCCCAATCAAAATCTCGGAAGTAATTCTGCAAGAATTTAAGATACTTTTAATACTTAGCTGGAAAGGGAAAGGGCCAAGAATGGCCACGATACTTCTAGAGAACTAGAAACAAGTATGTCCTCAACCAGTTACTAGAAGCAGTGTGGTGTCTGGTGTGGGAATAAACATACTGGAGATACAAAACTGGGAGTGCCAAACTAGGAAAGATTCTCTTTTCCTTGGTGATTGGCCAACTAGATTTCTATATACAAGAAGAAAATAAAATGATCCCTCTCCACCTACCGAAACATCAATTACAGATGGATTTTAAATCTAAATCTAAAACAGTAAATGTGAAAGCAATAAAATGTCCAGAACTGTGCTGTCCAATATGGCAACCACTAGCCACATGTAGCTACTTAAATTTAAACTAACTACAATTATATTAAAAATTCAGGTTTGGCCTGGTTGGTGTTGCTCAGTGGTTGAGCACCAACCCATGTAACTAGAGGTTCAATTCTCGGTCAGGGCACATGCCCGGGCTGTGGGCTCAATCCTCAATAGGGGGTGTGCAGGAGGCAGATGATGATGGATGTTTCTCTCTCATCGATTATTCTCTCCCCCCCCACTCCTTTTCTCTCTCTTAAAAAGAAATCAATAAAAGACATATTTTAAAAATAAATCTTTTTAAAAAGAAGCTAGCTGTTGCTTCAGTCATTCCATCCTCAGTCACAGCCATATCCAAAGCTGAAGCATTTACCTTTGACCTGCAGAGCAGAGCGGTGCTCCCTGCTAACTCACCACCGCTGTCATTCTAACCGCTACTGCCACCCCTCAAAGCCTCCACCTTCACACTCCTGTTTTCCTTCTTCAGCAGCTTGTCACTGTTACATGTCCCTGACTTTACACCAGCCTGCCATTCATAAGTAGCCAGGTAAAATTAACTTCCTTTCTATTAGGTTAAATAGAAAAAAAATCTGTGTTCTGGGCAATCTCTTTGTAACATGAATGTACTTTGATGACTGACAGCAGACTACTTCCTCCCCATCAGGGAAGCTTTCTGTCTGATTAACTTTAGCTATCCTTATAATTAACAATTAAAACCATCAAGATCCTTTTAAAAAAAAATTTATCTTTATTGTTGAAAGTCTTACAGATGTCCTTTATTTCCCCCAGTAGCCACTTCCCTCCCCCTACCTGGTCTTCACAGCACTATGGTCTGCATCCATGGGTCATGCATATAAATTCTTTGGTTAATCTCCCCACCCTTTCCCTCTGAGATTTGTCAAGTCTATTCCATGCTTCTATGACACTGGATCAATATATTTTGTTCATCAGATTCTACATGAGTGAAATCATGTGATACTTGTCTTTCTCTTGTTGTTCACAAGGAAAATAATGCAACAGTTAATAAATAGTACAATGAACTCTGTTTTGTGTACTCACAACTGTAAACCTACTTTTGCCCCACCCTGTATATGAAAACTACATAAATTCTTCTACAAATTTAGAGGGTTCAATGGCACAGTCCCTTTTCTTATAAAGCTACACGCTGATACTCAGATCTGGGGTAGATTGTGATACAAAGGCACAACCTATCTAATAATAGAAAACATGGTAATTAACTGTACCTCCAACACGCTTCCCATTGGCTAATCAGGGCGATATGCAAATTAACTGCAACCAAGATGGTGGCCGGCAGCCAGGCAGCTGAAGCGAACAGGAGACTTGCTTGCTCCAGTGAAGGAGGAAGCCAATGTTCCCCGCCTGCTGCCACCCAGCTCTGAGCTGCACTCTAAGCAACTATGTTGCAATTATAGGAACAAAACAATCCCCAGAAACCTGGTTTCAGCCAGTCGGGCCTCAGAGCTGGAGTTGCAACAGTGTTTCAATTATGGAAGCTAAAAAAAGCCCAGATAACTGCTTTTAGCAGCTGATTTTT